GCAACTGTCTCGATCATGACCAGCATAGCCATGTCGAAAGCGGAATCAGGCGCCATGTCCTTGCCCCTGACTTGCACGACCACGTAAGTCATTAGGCATAGCGACCTTGCGGAAGCCCACGGACTGACGTAGTAGATACCTGGAAACGATGGCGATGCTTTATCAGGAAAACACGTTTGTCTGTCTCGATACCACCGTGCTAGTTGAACTGTGTAGGGAACGATCCCGGTTCAACATGGCTCTCGTTCGCTCTTTCCATTACTTCGTCGGCACACGGAAGTTCTCTTGGTATGGAACGTCACTACCAGAGCTCGATATGATTCCGTCTCCTACCCACACCGAGAGATCAGAGAGTGCAAGCAAGATCTTCCATAAATGTCTACCGAACCTTCAACAACTCTCAATATTTCTCTACGGCCCCATCCGTAATGTCGAGGACTACACCAATATGCTAGAGCACCTGCACAACGTCTATCGAGACCGAATGTCCATCAAGATGAATGCGTTGGGAGTGTACGAGGATTATTTGTTCCACGATCGTTTGACGCACCCCAGTGGCAACTCGGTACCTGTCCAGATACTGACCTCTTCCTCACGCATTCCATTATTGAAGGGTAACAAACGTCCGACAAATTACACTGGACATTCGCGTTGGGGCGAAGGTGATGAGATATCAGTCGAAAACTTTACTTTCAGGGCTGAGAAGCTACGGCTAGGCTCTTATGGTCGAGCAGAGGGGGCAAAGAAACTGGTGTATGTGGTACTCAGTCCCGAAGATGAATCAAGGAGGATGGTAGGGCAGTTTGAACCGGCAATACTCTGGGATCTTATTCCCGACAGCTAGGGGAGTAAGCAATTACATCAATGCTGACTGGTTGTCTGTGCATGAACCTTCGACTTCCTGTTTTGGGCTCGCATACACGTTGAAGGAGAGTTGGACTGCCGAGTGGAGTCGGATGCATCGGCACTCTCCATCGCCCGTCGATCTGTACCCAGCAAGGCGACGTCAATGCAGACATGACGAAGGCGCCTGCCTGGTCAGGAAGCCCAATGATGCGCATCACGCGTGTTTCGTTTCGAGATGGCTGAGGCTTCAAGGCTGAGGCAGCCGATGTTCCCGATGCTTCCCAAGTAACCGGTCCTTCTGCGCGTGACGTTATGTGGGAACTTGCCGGCAAGGCCGAACGCCCTTTTGGAAGCTTTGCATGCATGCCTCGGACAGGGAGTGTGGCATAACACGCCGAAGAGCAGGATGATACGCTTTTGTTGCAACCGCCTGTGCCACAGCCACAGGTGGTGCGAGAAGCCTCTCTGGGGGTCAAGTTCGCAGTGGGGCCGTTGTCTACATGGCGAAGTAGAGGCGGCCAAAGCGGTGATAGGGTCTTTGTTAGATGGAATCGCAATTTACCCCACGGCGATTGCGGCGCATGATGAGAGGAACAGGCTAGCGGGCTGCTATCTTGGGCAAGGTGAAGCATGGGGCCAAACAAGGACGGATGTGGCGCCGGCCAATGGCAGACAAGCCTCAACCCTCCGCCAGCCGCTGCCCTCGAACGCGACCGAGTATCACCTGTTGACGCTCCCTCGACACCACTCGTGGCCGTTTTGTGCTCCATCGACAAACGTAGACGCCTGCGCTGCGATTCACTCACTTGCTCGCGCCATAGCATCTTGTACTCCATTCGTGTTGTGTTGACTTTGCGACTGCCGCTCGGCACCCCCTCGCGCCTGCCGCTCCCTGACGCCCGTACCCACTCGTTCACCACAACTATAGTCGTCGCATTCACCACGGCGCAAAGCCAACAACAATAGCCCGAGCAACAACAATACCACTGTTGTTGCTATACATATACGTACGCAGCCATCGGACACGCCTCTTCCGCTGTCACCGCTGTTCAAGCCTTGCGCATCTCAAACACGCAACGCTCCACCCACGCGCACACGTCTCTTGTCATGCGCACGGCACTCTGGTAGCATTCCGAACACCCACCTTTTTGGAAAGCCCTCCGTCCCCGGCCACCCGCCGCAATCCTCCGTCTGCTTAACAAAACTACCGCCCCTGTCGCTCTTTCCCTCGCTCGCTAGTGGTGAGCAGCCGGCCTGTCACCACCATATCGCGAATACTCACTCGACAACCGAAATTGCCTCCTCCTTTTGGCTACAACAACCAACCCATGTCCTAGCGACCAAGTCACTCCTTAGACGAACAGCTGGACTGCAGGCCACCGTACCGCTGAGCGGATACTTACATACACACATACGTACATACCGACTAATACCGAATCGCCAACATGGGGTGCTGCGGAGACCGCGAAAAGGGAACTACGGTGACAGAGGAGCAGAAGTGGACTTATATCGTAAGCACTTGACCGCGAATACGGAAGCGCATCACTAACTGTCTTAGAACTTGTCCGACTTCAAGTCTACATCTTGCCTCGCGCCTTTCTCTTACGCCTGGCTGTGGATTCTCGTCGTCATCTCATGCGCCGTCTACGCCGCCGATGCCTTTACCGCCGTCAACCTCCTCGCTTTCGACAAATGGACGAGCCAGGTCAAGCCTACCGTGCCTTTCGACATTGCCAAATGGATCTTCGCCATCACCATTATCGTCTCCTACGTCTTTCTCGCATACCGATGGATCCGGGCTCTGCGCGTCATGCGGACAGGAAGTGTCACCGAATGCTACCTCGAGCCATTGGCTGCTATACTGCAGAGTATGCGCATCACAAAGACTGGCCAGGGCTGGCGCCGCTTCTTGGTCTTCGCAGAGTTGACCAAGAGTAAGAAGGGTGCCAACTACATCGCTCTCTTCGTATACTTCCAGTTCAAGAGCGCTCTTCTCATCATTGTCGCCCAGGGACCTCGCATTGCCCTCAATGCCATGACTTTATACGCCGTCATGCAAGCGCAGCTCATACCCGTCGGCGAGCACGCGTCAGAAGATCGCTCCAACTTCGAGCAGTTCTTCATGAACATCAAGCTCATGGTCGAGACCGGCAACAAGCAGGAAACAGTCATCTACTTCACCATGTTGTTCTCTCTCGTCATCTGGGTCATCGCTGCGCTGGGTCTCATCATCGCTGGTATCTTGTACCTCTTCTTCCTCTGGCACTACATCCCCAAGGCCGATGGCAGTCTTACCAACTACTGCCGACGCAAGGTCGAGACCCGTCTGGAGCGTATTGTGGGCAAGAAGATCAAGAAGGCCATCGAGAAGCAGAACCAGCAGCTGAAGAGGGAGGAGGAGAGGGCCATCAAGAAGGGCGAATTTGACGCTTCCAAGTCCCGTCCTACGCTACCCAAGCTCGAAGGCGATGATGACGATACATCGACTGTCTTCTCGCTGCAACGATCCGATACGATGCAGACCACCGCGACACTACCCCCGTATACCCTCGCAAACACACCTTCATACAGAACAAACCCGGAGCGATCGAACACCTCGAACACCTTCAACACCATGAACTCGGGCCGAAACTTGATGAACAAGCCGTCTTTGCCCACGCTAGACGAGCGACCTGGCATGCCAGAGAGGGACGCACAATTCACAAACTTCTCGACTGCCAGCTTCGCTTCAAACGCGCCAATGCTGAACCAGGCAGGAGGTATGGGCAGATCGTCGCCTGCACCCCAAATGCCACCTCTAGACCGTAACGGCACTGGGTACTTTGGCCAGCAAGACAACCTGCCTTACCAGTCCGACCGACCTTTCACACCAATGTCACAGGGCAGAGCGTCCCCACTCCCACCACGTGGGCCCATGCCCCCTGTGGATACAAGCTACAACAACGGGCGATACGAGAACGATCCTCAACTCATCACTCCCCTCGATGCGCGAAATACACCACAACAAGCTCACCCCAACCGACCGTACCAAGAGTTCAGCCCCTACGACAGCCGGGGTCCTCAGATGGGCCCGGAGTATGAGCTGTCACCTGTCGATGTCAACCCCACAGAAGATATCTCGCAGCACTACTTCTCGGACTCAAATGGACAGGCCGACTACCAGCCACCTCAAATGCCCAGCTTGTTAAGAGCTGGCTCACCCGCCCCATCACAACCCATGGGTCTACCATCGCAACCACGTTCAGGTACCGCGCCTCCACGATCTGGCACTGCACCACCCCGAGCTGGTGTTCCAGCATCACTGCAATCTGCAATCCAGCGTCGCGAAGCCTCGCAACCTTTCCCCAACCGAGGGATGAACGGCTCAGCGCCGCCTCAACAACAACAACGAAGTGCAACAGCACCGATTCAACAACCAGGTTGGGCTCAGGGACCTCCTGTCCGTAGCTACACACCTCAGGGTCCCGGCCCCCAACGTAGCTACACACCCGTCTCTGGACCCCAACAACAACAGCAACAACGCAGTTACACCCCCACTGCGCCCCGTGGCTACGACAACAGCTACAACTACTGATCTCCCTCATTTCATTTTATCTCATACAACGTTTGGAATCACCACATTCATGCATCTCACGGCGTTCACTTCTACTCTCCATCTGTCATCTTTGTGCCTGAGGCCACCCAAACCCCATTCTTTCCTTACAACTCTTACATTCATACGCACGACGTTCTCTCCTCCACTCCAACGTGTGTGAGTGAGGGAAATGTTTAACGACCTTTGTTCTGTTTTCTACTTTCGCCCTTTAGCTTGGTTTCGAGATACCCCCACCCGCATGGCTGGCCTCGGACGTCCGTTCGCTCTTTCTTTGTTTTTACGCGTTCACCTGGAGGACTTTGGTTGGATGACTTGGTGGAATGATTTATCTGGTTATGTGGAGGAGCTTGTTCTCTTGTGATGGATGAGGGGGATGAAGAGATGGAGATCTAGGCTTTGGCTTAGACATGTACAGGTAGCGTGGTTGGGTTACATCACCCTCAAAAGTGAGGACTGTCTGCGCTGGGAGAGGCGCCCATACGTGTATTATATACCCACTTCTTTTGCAATTCCTGGAAAGCAATGGAAACTTGTGCATACTCATCTCGAGATTTACGCTTCACTCCAACCAAATATCCTCCCGATGCCTGGCATCCGTCATCTCATTGAAAGCCCGCTCATCCATGTCGCGAAACTGCAGCGCTCCCATTCGCCGATACACGCTTCCAATCTTTCCTCCCATCTTCATGATTCTCTCTGACTGCTGCAACATGAGTTTCTCGAAGGCATCCAGGCGCCATCTTTGTTCTCGAGACGGTTCTACGCCTGCTAGTGCGCTTTTGTATTCTTGGTACAGCCGTTCCTGCCCAGAGATCCAGGAAGTGTGTTTGATGAGGAGGAGACCTACACCGGAGTACGTCTGGCGCGCTTTGGGGGAAGAAGGTTGGGGTAGGTGGGGAGTGTTGGTGGGGTTTGGAGTGGCGGATGCGGCGAGGATGATGAATGCGCAGTGCTCTGGGTCGATGCATGTAGTCGCTAGTGGAGTGTCGAGGAAGGCATCTACTTCAACGGTGTCGGTAGAGATCTTGCTCGGGAAATGGAGACGGTATTGGTCTTCTTGCCCTTTGACCAGTCGCCCAAAGTTGATGTGGGCCTTCAGTGCCAGTGTTCTGCTCTCTAATATAGGCTCCTTGTCGCCTTGCCTAGTTTCTTCTTTGACCGTGAATCTGACAGCAGCTCCATCGTGATCTGTAATCTTGTATGGTCGTTTGGCTAGTCGGTGTTGAGGCACAACGGCACCCTTGATACTTGCCCAAGACCAGCTGGGGATATTGGCGTCTAGCTCCGGCATCCTCTTACATGCTTTTGTATCCCGCACTCTCCAAGTCAGTTGCTCCTCGAGCGCTCCAGACCACATACCCACAGCGTATTGCTCGCTCATAAAATCGCGTAGCAGTTTTGCGATACTCCAGATGGCGATTGTCTTGTCGCCTTGATTGGTCAGTTCGCATTCCGTGTAGTTTTGAACTGCGGACATCCAGAAAGTATAGGAGCTTTCGTTGTCGATGACGCCGACCAAGGCGTTCGATGAGACTGTGCTTCTGGCTAGCCGTCCTCTCCAGTGTCGATCTGTGCTCGCTTCGTGGTCGAGAGGAAAGGGAAGTCCTTTTGGGAATACTTCGCAGGCTGAGAGCGTGCCGCAGTCCCAAAATATTTGACGCTTTGTGAAGTGGAGGATGCGAGGAGAGAGAATGCGTTCTATCAATCGTTCAAGGTCAGCTTCTGGTGAGTTTAGATGGCCTGATCATGGGCTCTGCTTACCTTGGAAGACCCATGCACGGCCATATATGATGGAGCTCAGAAGTTCTTTTTCCCAGAGATCCGCCGGAACAATCGTCCAACTCTTCTCCCCCAAATGATGACGCGCATCGGTCCCCTGGTATGTGACCGGAAGGATTTCGTGAGGTTTTCGCGTCCTGAATAGGCCGCCGTATGCATCCTTCGAGTCCGCTGCAACGATATTGCAATGCGAGTAGCGATACACCCTGTGCATGAGATCGGCTTCTTTTGCAAAGTCACCAAGGGGTTCCTGCACGATCGCGAGACTGTCAATCCAGATGTACCGCACCTTCAAGAAGCGGGTAACATGTATTGCGTGTTGGAAGTTACGTGGAAGCTCGTCTAGAGTAATGCCTGTGATCAGATGCTTCGCCATGTTCCACACGGTGGTAGTGAGGAACGGCTTCTCTCGTGGTCCCCAAGCGTGACTCAACGTGCAGTAGGGGCCCTTGGCTTTGGTCGTTTTGGTATCTACTAAGCGGATGACCTTGTCATCTCCAGTGTCAACATCCAGAAGTCGTGTCGGTAAGAAGGAGGGTTTGGATCGCTGGTCTTGCCAATAGTTGCTGCAGTCTTGATGATCGCGCATACAAGTGTCCATCCATTTGTTGATCTGAGTCCCTCCACTGAGTTCTGGATCTGTTGTTTCTGATAGATCCTCAGGCGCAGGCACATGTAGATCGTTCCCTGGTAGGAATCGGAAAGACTTGGTTGTAAATTTCGGATGAGAAGACCGAAACCGCAGCATCATCGATCCTCTTAGCTCCCTGCCGCGTGGTAGCGCTCGAAGGGTCCAGTGATACAATGGCCAGTCTTCAGTGTTCGATAGGAAGTGCTCCATGTTGGCGTAAAGCGATGTGCAAAATGTGCACTGGTTCAAAGCGATATTTGCACCATCTATCGAGGCTCGATGTTGACCGGAAGATGCAGCGGAGTCTAACACACTACTGATGCAAAAGTCACATACGCCCATTGGCGACTGTTTTGATGCCGTTTCCGCTTGCGTGACCTTTCTTCTGGGCTCATGGTCCTGAAAGATACCCCGAGACATACCCGGTACATACTCGGCGCTGTTCATTCTAGGAGGCGATTGGACTAGTTCATCGTCCTTGTCAAGGAATAAAGTCCGATCGTACGTATCCTCCGGCTCGCGGATGCCAAGGCTATGTTCGAGGCTCGTGAGCGGTGTTAGGAGAGGCCTTTCGCTTGCCAATGTGTCGAATGTGCTTCCCAAGAGATCAGGTGTTTGGTCTGATGAGGATGTCTCTTGGAACTGATGAGATAAGACAGCACCAGGTCTTCCCTCAGCTGCAGAATCGACTCGGCGTCTCGCCCGTTCCAACGAATCATTGTACTTCTCTTTTACATACAGAGGGAAGGCGGGTTGGCAGCATATATCCACTTTCCGGTCTACAGTGCGAAGATCTGTAAGCCATCCATTTGCTGCAGTAAAGACGTCTTCAACAGATCTGGGATAATCTATGCTCAAGCAAGTTCTCTGAGCAAGACTTATACACTGCTCCAATTCTTCCAGGGAAATGCCATTCGAATGGTGCGCAGCGACAGCAATTGCATGTAGCGGAGGTAAACGCTCTGGTTCCGGCTTGCGCTCGATGAAGCTCATCTCGGTGTCGAAATAAGCAATGACATCCCTGGGCAGCCTGTCATCGATCCGATCTATGTTGAAAGTAGCGACCTCGTCCCGGGTAAAAACATCTTCCAGATACAATAATGCAAGTGTTATGTTGCCACCAGCTTTCGACTCGATATGTTCAGCAATGCGGTTCGTGGCCTCTGGCTGGATGTCGCGATAGTGCATGCTCAGTCTCTTTTCGAGCAGGGGCTCGATGTTAAAGTAAGCCAACTTGACGCTGACATACTGATAAGTTTCTCTGAAATCATCCACTGGGCACATGTGAGAGTTCTCCAAGTGTTCCTTCTTTTCACAGTTGTAACACAGATCGAACTTGTTACAGTTTGAACATGCCCACCAGAGCTCCAGATAATTCTGCTTGCATTCGTCGCAATCTTTGTTGCGAGATATAGAAAACACTGGGACTCTCCGTGTTATCATTACCTTGAAGCCGCTGAGCTTCAAGGCGGACAAGTGTGTATCGACAATCGACTGTAATGCTTCGTTGATGCGATCGTATCCGTCAAGAATGAGAAACTTGCAAGCACTGGGTGCAAAGCTACTTAAAGCTTCGATCAGCTTCTGTATTCGCTCAGTTCCCGGAGTTCCGGAGTAACACGCAAGTTGATATGCTGCATACTCCACGTTGTGTTCAGTACCGAGTTCCGAGTATATGAGCTGAAAAAGGTCTTCTATAAACCCCAGGGATGTCGACCACACATGCTGAGTGATGGATATCGATGCGACAGCCGTTTTGATCCCATGTATGCTAGACGGCAGCCTATTGGCAGCGAAAGCAGCTACAGTCGTCTATCATGGTAAGTACTGTCCTCTGCCAGATCACTACGAGCTCACTTTGCCACACCCAGGCTCTCCATAGCAATGCAATTGCCATGATTTACTACCCGAAGACCATGCGCAGAAGGCTGGGGACGCAAAAAACTCGTTGAATAAGATGGCATCATATTCGCTGCCATGTAGCGTGTTTCGGCTCAAGGCTGAGTGTGGTACGTGAGTTTGTGGCGCAAAAGGATCTGGAACGTCTCCAGCCGCGGCGTCCGACATTGTCGTAGGCGCCACGAGATTGCAGATGCATTCGCAAGGAAATTGCCATCCATTGATACTGTTGTTTGATGGCTGCAGGTGTTGCTTTTGTGAGTCAGGACGAACGACGGGTTCCAGTGGGTCGGCCCCCGCTCGATCTATGTCCGTGCACTCGGCTTATGTCATGCAACCGGTCAATTAGCCCGGCGCGTAATCCACAAATACACATCGTCCTCCACTCCCACACAACCTGTATGTCAGCCGGCACGTCGCACAATGTAACGCTGCATTGGTCGGCTGTATATAGCACTTTCCTGTTCGAGGTGAACATCCGACTAGTTCGCGAACTCGCTGCCTCTTTTCTACTGCCTACTTTTGCCTTCTTCAACCTTCTCCTGTCCTAAACAGTTCCGCTCACGACTGGACGAACCTTTGCCACACTAAGCGTGCGCCTCTGCTGCGCTCACGATTATTTCTATAGGTGCCAATCAGGGCTTTGTTTGCTCATTGAACTCCAGCGCGGACGAGGGGCTTCTATCACCGAGCTTTCATCTACCGTTTGGACCTTCAGCTTGCGATTGGGCTATGCAAACTCGTAGCCAGCTTCCCGTCGACCTTGGATATATCGAATTAGGGATACGTGTATCTCTTCAGCCTACCGACTCCTTTGACCGCGTGGGATAGGCCGAAAGGCCATGTGGGGGCCAAGTGCGGCTGAAATGCAAGATGACTGCTCTGTACTCCGCGCATGAACCCACAGATCGACTGACAAGCCTCTAGCGCAATTCCGGGAAAGGCTTAAATTATCTCATGATCCATTTACCCCCTGCAGCTTTCCGTTCACTGCGCCTGTGGGAATTGGTGGCTTCGTGCATTGGCAGGAGCAAGTGTTCATTCATTCGATAGCGAACGTTGGCGGCCTACCGTTCCTGTAACATTCCAATTTCATGGAGTTCCCGTTGAGGCTGCGCAAGCCATCGCCACCCATTCAGATCCCTGCCAGTGAGCTTCACAGAGTTACACAAGATGTGATCACCGAAGTTCAAAAGTTGAGGAGATCCACTCTATCTACTGAAAAGATAACTCGCTTTGGTTACTGATTCTTGGTCGCGCGTCATGTCTCTCGTTAAGCGCCTGACGATATCGTGCCTGTTGGCATACGGATGGGCAAACCCTCTGAAAGGCTCTTTCGCCACTCGACAGGTTGAGCCTCCTACAATTTCTTCGGAAGCTTTCTCTACTGCGTGTGGAGATATCATTGTCGCTGTAAACAACAGTCAGTACCATTTCATATGATTGGGGAAAACGCCTTGACTAATTAATGGCCAAGACTACACACTATTCCAGGCATCATGGGTGTACGAGTGCTTGCAGAGCATTCCCTTCAATCCAGCCGTCGCAATGCGCTTCCTCGACTACTACAATATGACCTTACAGTTCCAGTCCACACTGGGATACCTCAAAGCGCCACCCGCAGGCTACCAACGAGCGCCATTCGACGTCGACCAAGCCTTAGAGCAGATCAAGCAGAACGTGACTGCGGCTGCCTACAACAACCAATACGAATTTGAGGCACAAATTCAGCTCCTGGTAAACCAGCTTCATGACACACACGTTATCCTCAATGCCGGGGCTCTGTCGGCATTCTCCTTCGTCGGCTCATATGGGCTTGTAAGTGCGTCAATTGACGGCAAACAAGCGCCAGACATCTACCTTGATCAGGACCTATACGAAGCTTGGGCGATTGATGAATACGAAGCGTCACCTGTGACCCATATCAACGGGGTCGACGTGATCGAATACCTGGAAAGCTTTGCCAACCAAAATTCGCAAGGCTTCTTGGAACCACATGCAGATTGGAATGCGATAATGAATAGTCCTGCGCTCAATATCCAGGGTATTCCGAGTACATTCCAGTCGGCAAGGCTTTACCCCGGCAATGGAGTCTTCTCTGATGCGCTAAACTTTACACTCCAGAATACCACTGTCGTCGAAACCGTCTGGTGGGCAATCTGCATCGGTTGTGAGGATACAGGACCCCTTACCACTGGCGGCGACTTCTACAACTATTTTGTTCTTGGCTTCTTGCCAGACAGTTATAGTGAAGGCGAGCAGTGGTGGCCAGCCATCGAAGACGAGGTTCCTCCTCCAGCCGACCAAAGCGATGGTACGTTCAACTTCACAGCGGCACTGGAAATTTATTGCAATGAAGGAGCTTCGTCGAGCCAAAACTGGTGCATGAACAGCTTTGGCGCATACCCGAATAACCCCATGACCATCCAAGCCGACCTTTCCATCACAGGAGGAGGCATCGTGTCCAGCTATATGTTAGATGGGAAATCTACCGCTATCCTTAGCATACCCTCATTCTATCAGAACGGTATCGATACCTCCAACTTTCGGCAGGCGATTCGCGACTTCATCGGCAACGCATCACAAAGTCCGGCTTCCCGTGTCATTATCGATCTGCAACAGAACTCTGGAGGTCTTGTGTTCCTTGCGTACGATACCTTCAAGCAATTCTTTCCGAATCTTGAGCCCAACGGTGCAAGCCGCCAGCGCAGTCATGAATTGAGCGATCATCTTGGTGAGGCTTATACAGAATGGTGGGACCACTCAGGCCAGGCCCAGCCTGAAAACTACAATTGGGCGTCGAGCGAGTGGATCGTCACTAATCGCATCAACGCCGCTACTGGGAAAACTTTCTCGTCTTGGGACGAGTTCTACGGTCCAGAGATTAGCAACGGCGACACCTTCTCGGGGAGTCAACGATACAATTTGTCCGATGAGAGTTTCGACTATTCCGCATTTGGCGACTACCCATATGGCTACGATCCCAGCGACCCCATAACCAACACTTCACCACCTTGGGCTCCTGAACAGATAGTCATTCTTACTGATGGCTTGTGCGCCTCTGCATGCGCTGTTTTTGTCGAGTTCATGACCTATGAAGCTGGAGTCAAAACCATTGTCGTTGGTGGTCAGCCCAAGCCCGGCCCCATGCAAGCAGTCGGCGGCACTCGTGGCGCCGCCGCATACTCTGCTGACGCCCTCGACTACGATTTTGACGAAGGATTGCAGTATATGCCTGTGAATAAGCCCGAAGTAGTTATACAACTGCCCAACCGAACGGATACAGGAATGTGGATCAATTACGCCGGTTTCACAGTCAGGAACCAAGTGCGCGGCACGGAGCTCACACCCCTCCAGTTCCAATACCAGGCTGCCGATTGTCGTATCTACTACACGCTTGAGACGATCTATAATATGACGCAACTTTGGAACCACACTGCTCGTGCAGCATGGGACGACTCGACGCTTTGTGTCCAGGATTCCACAGGTTATCCAACGGCCCGCAACAAGACTTCGGCCAAACTGCCCCCATCAGCCATACCCGCCGCCTCACTGGCAGTCTATGACTTCTCGCCGCCGCCGTCCGCTGATAACGCAACGTTTGAGATTTTCGACGGCGACCCTGCCCATACAAGATCAGCAGGTAAAATCATATCGCCATGCCCTACGGATAATGCTTGTCGCTGTCGCTCCATGGAGTTGTCTTGCCCCGGCCAAATTTATCCTGTCAAAGTCGGGGCTTGTCTGCCAGCTTGCACTGTCACAGCTGGCGATCCACAAGGCGATTGCCGGGGGCATAATGTCTGGTGCGCCCCATCAGGGCCACCCAGGGACACAAAGGCTCACGGACAAGGAGGCACTAACTATGTGGAACAAGGCGGTTACTGTAAGTCATGGGATACAAAGTACTGCCCGCTTTGGGCCATGTAGGTCAATTGAGGGAGCGTAGAAAATGAGGGAAAGAGCTGTCGCGTGATGAGGCTGCATGCGATTTTGGGGCCATACAACGACAAGCACATGGCATGTCCTTCTATCTTAATTACTTGTTGTATCGATTTATCTGGCTTATGCAAATACAAAGATCTTAAGGGAAGACACTGCGATCAACTTCGCCACAACTGCTTCGCCTGTACAACAAGACTTCGGTGCAGGGTCCAGATCATTCGATCTAGGAAGTTAGCGTGATTGAGACATAGCGCTCACAAAGCCCGAGAAGGCTCGTAGTCTAGCCATGCTGCGATTGGACCTTTCAGGTCTGTTACGGTTCGATCAGAGTCGACAGGGTGATCCAAGATGACGTCTCTTATCTCAGCACACTTATCTCGATCGATTGAAGACTAACCTGGCTGCCATTCCACACGCATGGATTAACGCGACTCAAATACATGTCATAATATGGCCTTTGGTAAATTAGCAGACTACGTAAAGCATTACTCATGGTCCATACAGTGGACACGAGGTCGACATTAACCGAAGTAGCGAGACATGATGAGCAGTCGCCCCGTGGTCTAGCCAAAGATGACCATAATCAATCGCCTTATTGTTCGGTTTAGGACTACCATAAGCAATCAGCTTCCTGTTCTGTCTAAGAACAACGTAAGCAATCACCCACTTGTCTAGTCCAAGACTACTATAGGCAATTGCTCTCTTGTCTAGACTAAGACTTCTATAAGCAACCGCCCTGTCATCTAGCCTAAAACCACCATACACACTCATCGTCTAACAGTTGCAGTAGAGTAATGTCAAGATATTTTGCCTGTCGGGGACGTGCTCAGAAACAGACTCATGAATGATCGACATCTCTAATGGTTGCGACATCTTTAATCCTAGGAATACGTTTGCATGTGAGATGGTTGCAGGGATCATGAGAGGCTCGTCGGTTTCTGTCATGGTAGTACTAGTGTGAACAATCGACGATGGGTACTTGGTAAGAAAAGTATAAACATGGTCTTCAAATCTCGCAACAAACACCACTCACATCCTCAACAATATCATCGACAGCCATCTAACTCACGAGGACCATCAACATGCGTTCCATTCAATCCATCAGCCTGGCGTTCATCGCCCTCCTCGCCACGGTACACGTCCCCTTTCCCTCATATTCTCCCAGTGCGTCAACCCCAAACTAACCACAATACCAGACCAATGCCATCCAAGTGAACGACGGCGGCGCGGCCGGCGGCTGCCCAGGCGGCTGCTGCATCCCAACCTGCAACGTGATCGCCTTTGGCGAGGGCGATGACCTGGGCGCATTCGGAACCGCGTCTTTCCTCGATACATGCAAGCAGAACTACGACCGGAAGAACGGGGGTACAGTTGATCTGGGTGACGACCACCAGGCAAGCTGGGTCTACGAAGGCGAAGACAAAGTCTTTCTCGATGTCTTCCGCAAGAGCGACAAGAAGTACAATCGATTCGAGATTACTAACTGTCAATTGGCTACTACGGGTGGGTCGCAGTGTGCGCCCAGTGGTGGAGGCTGTGTAAGTTGTGAGCGGTCAACTGTGGGAAGTGTGCTAATGGGTGCGTGTAGGATGCCAAGCTGATCCTCGTTGAGCAACAGGGCTAGGAAATTGACTGCACTTACGACAGTATGTGGAGAATGTTGCTATTGAGATGGTGACAGGGTCGATGTTCGTCGACTACTTGTCAAAAGCTTATACTTCTTGGGTACAATCTTTTGGCACTACACTCGTTTTATGAACTACTATCAATGGATTGTCACTTCCCTGGCGCATACCTTTGAGATGCGTTCATGTCTGCTTGTGTTCACTCGTCACACACCTACCACTGGGCATATCAGATATGCTAAAGTAGCTAGCGAAGCATTCTATCAGGAGCGCTGATGTGCAGTTTCACTCCAGACCAGGATCCCACTACCACACCACCACATCCCCATCGCCTCTCCCTCTCAAGCATCTGTTCTTCTTCGTATGTGTATCATCAGACAAACCATGAAACACGCAAATCCCATCTGACACACCCGTTGAACCCGTATCTCGGCTTTTGTGGGAAGAAAAAAGCATATGCGCGGGAAAAGCAAAAGATGTGTCTAGCGAACACCCGGGTATAGTTTGCAGCGGCTCATGCCGATGCAGATCTAGATGCAGATGCACACTTCGTGGGTTCAACCGTTCATATGCGCATTAGCCTCCTGTCACATGCTTGATCAACGTGTTGAGCGTGGTTGTGAGGGACGTTGAGGCTGTTGAGATGGTTGGGGATCTACGTTTATGTCGATAGACCTGCTCGATATGAACGATATCAATAACGTCTTCCCAGGAGTATTTGTCTCACCCACGATTGTTGTACTCGGGTGGGCGTGTTGGGTAGCGCGGTGAAGAGGATGCGCGGTTGAGTTCCCTAGATGTCTATATGCAGCGAATAGGGTGGGTAGATGAGTTGCTTTACTGATTGCGGTTTCGATGTCATGGTTTGACGATGCCTAAAATTGGTATTGAGAACTGAGGATAGACGATGGAGGACAGACGGTGAAAGGTAGTGGGGCAGCCGCGGGGATATATTGACATTGCATAGTATGCCATATCTCCAAGCGAACGTACTAGGTGATCAATACACATTAATAACACCACCTAGCTTCCTTCTCCTCAAAGCTGGAGAGAGAAACGGAATGCAAACTCTTACCCATCCATACCTTACCTGTACGCACACCAACATACCTGAACCCAGCAAACGATACAGAACAGCTAGACTTAACCCTCACCGCCATCTTACGCCCTCCTCCCGTATCTCTATACCATCTGGGACCTACGCGATTAACAGCGAACGATCATACCTTGAACACCTAGCTACCTCCCTCTATGCCTCTACTCCTTCCTAACTCGTTCAAGCGTACCGTTACCCGTGCAAGTGTACCACCAAACCCATTCGTTCAGACCCTGAACAGCGCTACAACATCATTTTCCTCCCTAGCCGCATCCCCCGTCGCATCCACCACCAACAAACCCAACTTGTCAGCGGCCCCCAAACGCCACGCGGCGCCCGGGAGATGTCCAACCTGCATACCCAGGCTTTCGCAACACCGACTACGAAAAAGAAGGGTAGAACTTCCGAGTGGGGGCCGCACATGAGCTGAGCGATTGGCATGTACGTTCACATGCAAGTTTCACATTTCCCTTCTCTTTTGTTTCTGCTAGTGACGGCGGTGCCAGTGCCAGTGGCGGGCACGCGCCGCGGCGAAACGTGGACGATAAGATAGCGAAGAAGCGGCTTGGTCTCGCGTGGTACACTACGCGTAGATGCAGGTAATCGGTTTCAGCCACGCTGTCTGCGCGCTTCTGCGAACGTGTGGATAGCTCGGGGACCGAGTTCGGCATTGCGCGTCTGGCGACGGGCGGGAACTGTCGAGGTTAGAACTTCTTAGAGTCCGTTGACCAACCGGCCACGTGTGACTCAGTTGAACGGAAACTGTAGCATGAGGTTAGTTGGCCGAATGACATGTTTTGACAGGTGTTGCGAGCGAGGTGGACGTCGTGGTAGGGTAACGTGTGCTGTCTGGCGACGCTGTGGGCTGTGCCTCAGCACCGTCGAAAATGTCAGATGTCTTTCTCATCGCTGTCACAACGTCGCAACACTTTTCACAACATCATTATCACCAGTCGCATGCAGCGCATAAGATAGTCGCCATGATATCAAGCATGACTGTTGTGTTGTGTTGTGCTGTTGGTGCCGCTCACTCTTCACGCCGCGACACCCAACGCCCGCCCGGCACTCTGATCGGCAAACCTGATCTCCTGCGCTGCGCACGCAGCACCAACCGAGAACGCGTTTGATCGACAGGCACCACATCCGCACCAGCGCAATGGTGCCGACTCCTCCTCCTCCGCGGACCACGCTCCAACACAACTTCGCGCCCGCTGCCAATCCAGACTTTTTCTGACAGACTAGCTTGCGCGTACTCAGAAACGTTCGGTGGCTTTGAACTTGTTTCGGCGGCTTAGAAAGAAGAACGTTGGGGGCGTTCTTGGTGGTCATTTGGTTTTTGCGTGGTAGCGAGATTGTGTTTGGGATTGTTGGGTGAGGGGCGCCTTGAGGTGAGGGGGAACCGCTGGTGCTGAGGGGTGTGTACATGGGTCCCCGCTACTATGGCAGATTGTTGTTGTTGCTGTTGTTATGGACGACGATATTTGCAATCAACGCAAGTGCGTAGGGCAGACATTGAGTTCCGCAATTCCAACATTCCGCCTCATGGCGACATGATTGAGTCATCACTACGATCGATATGGTCACTTCCGCCTCGATTCGAAGCCAGATACCACGTCCGTCATGTTGCATGCCTGCTGCCCGATCTGACCGATATCTCCACCCGCTCGCGTGCCTCTATGACCTCTGATCGCTTGTACCCTGTCAACGGGTGTGTAGTCGCAAAAAGAAGATTCTGTCAGGAAGCACTCTTCCATCATCTAGCAGCCAGTCGAGCACATAACCTCGAGGTATGACTGGTAAATCCGCTCCACAGCACCACAAATCCCTTCCACAAGCGAAATTACCTGTAGTTGTCTAGAACACATCCGCTTGTTGGTAGTCTTACACCTAGTGATGTCACACCAACCCGGCTCCGAGTAGGTATCGATAAGCGGGCAACACTTGCGAACGTCTTGCATGAACTTTTCGTCGCCGGCTCCGCAGGACGTTGCGCTTTTCGTATGATTGGTTTGTGTGGAAAATCATGATGGTAGTGTTGTAATGTCCGCCAATGGGATGTTTTGAGCGACAAATGCAGGACTTGTCGGTCCGGCAGATAATAGTAATCGTATGGCTGGCTGAACTAGAGAGCATGTGTGTCGCCTAGAGAACGGCGGCAGGAACAGAAGGTGTCCGCATGCAGTAGTGTTTCTGTGTAGCTCTTGGTTTCGCAATGTCTCAGTTGGCGCATAGAGGCTGTGTTGTTGCTCTGTGCAAGGGCAGGTTGCTCGACCAGATGTACAATGTCGAGGGCGACACGCAGCACAACCATGAAAGTACCAAGACATATGATGGAAGCACAGAAATGTCCGCGTCACTACTCTCGCTGGCCATGAGAGAAGGTCCAGCGGCCGGTGAGCCGAAGGTACACATGGTTTTCGCTTACCGGTCCGTTTCTGCTCGGAGGAGCGTCACAGGGAAGATCCAGCGAACAGCGACCCACCACGTCGTGTGAGGCTTTTCTGGTCACGGCTGGCGGTGTCGCTGTACACCGTACTAGCAGTGGGTAGTCTTCCAGATTTTCACCATGCATATACCGGCTACCACGTTGCGATAAAGAGCCTTATCGTCCCGCTGACGGCACCGGGGCTCCACAAACGTTGCATCGGCACATCTTGCTGATCCGTGAATGGAGAGAATCCTGCCTAGGTGCAGGTGGGCTGCAGATGTGGAAATGGGCGAGGCAAAAAGTCGTCGTGTGGACGGTTGCGTCACGATCCTGCGGAAGGACTGCATGCCCTGACGGAGTTGGAGAGTTACGCATGCATAGCCGAGGGGGAAGACGTGTCCGGCTCACAGACTGTCGCGGCTGAATGGAGTGTACATTGTGTCTGCACACGGCAGTGACAGTGATAGATGAAGGTTGTGGACTCGTCAGGGCGACGGAGACTAGACTCGTTGGGTGAAAACACGTGCCGGAGTGTGACAGGAACACGCAGGCAACGCGGCGCCGATGTGTGGAAAACGTTCTGGAATCTGGAGGGTCAGTATCCACGGGCGGCTGCCCCAATCACAGCTGTTTGGGTTCCACACTGTGTAGATCGCAATTGCGCGGCCTTCACGACGTCGCCCGCGGGTGCTGAGTCGAGTCCCGCGCCTTGGGATTGCGCACTGTCGTTGTGAAAGTCGAGCGACAACTCTTTGCTTCCTTGCCGCTTGCGAGTCTGGCCAAGGGGGACGCGGCTGCGACAGGCGATGAAGCGACGAAGAGAGATCAAAAGCGGCTGAAACCTCGGAGCGCCAACTGTGCCTGGCTCAGGCACACCAATGAGAAGCGCCAGCCAAGTCAGGATCGCGCGCTATCCAGGGGTGCAACATCCGGTGCAATTGGCCCTGACTAAATTAGTAACGGGGATAGTCCGCAGCGCGCTAGTCCAATTCTGTCTCCCAGGAGATGAGATGGGGGCAGCCCGGCTGAAGGGCCACTTACCTTTGTGCCTGGCCGCTTGTTTCCCTTTTCCTCCTTCACCCCAACATATAATCCACACATTGTCCCTCTTTTTGAAAAGGCAAATTCGCGCGTTCACTCTTTCACGCCCGTCTTGCGCCTGCTAGCTCTCGCTCACCCAGTCACTCATTACTCATACCTCAACTACTCGTTGACCAACCACTACCAGCGCATCACGACACGCCGTTGAACGACGTTACGACCTGTCCGCAGTATAAATACCAAGCGCTTACCTCACTCAATCACCCTTACGCAACTTCACGATGCGTTACTCTTCCGCCGCGGTGCTGAGCACCATCGTCGTTGGCCAGGCTGCTGCCGCCAACCTCCACAACCGTCACGCCAGCTTCCACGCCCGCCGTCAAGCGTAAGTAATGCCTCCGAGTCGACAACGAAACCTGGATGCTAACTCTTTG